TTTATGTAGTGTTGTTATAAATGTTAAGAAATTTAATTATAGTACAGAACCGAACCCGAACGGTTCCATAATATATTTGGACCCGACGTTTTTATTTATTAAATACCCGAAATTTTTGGTTCGGTTCGGTTCGGTTCTCTTTAAAATCGCCCCGCCCCGCCCCGCGCCCAGGTCTACTAAGAATTATTAATTGGTACTCTCAAAGCAAACATAAAAGCATCTAGAAAAAGACGAGTTACTTGACATATTTATTCTATAGAACCAATTTGATAAATCTTTTCCATCTGTAAAAGCATATAAAAAACATTGTAGATGTTCAGTAACATTTGATGAGTTGAATTGACATGGACTTACTAAGAAAAAGAGCAGCAAAGCAAGAGAATAAATAAAGATTTTGGCTTACTTTATCTTGCTCAATAGATTCCCATATCACATGGCATCTGTTAACAGATTCCTCTACCAGACTTGTGCTATCCCACTGTACAACTCGCACGTGCAAGATTGAAGTAGCGAAAAACATCTGAATCACCAACAGAAAGAAAAAATTAGATGTTTACAATAATTTCTCCTAGTAAACCAAACGAGCATGAAAAAATTTAGCAGGAATCTAAAGAAAACACCTCAACAGCCATGATATATGAGCAGCATATGATACACAATTAAAGGAAGCAATACCCATAACTCTAAGATAACTCAATCTAATATACTTTAGAAAAAGGTTTTTCTCTACCTCACTTGAAAATGTAATATAGAGCTGCCGTAACTTGGGCTCATCATGCTACTTTGTCACGCAAACAAGATTTTTCAACCAGAAATAGTCATTATTTTTAGACGAACCTGTAACTCTGGATAACACATCTCCAATGCACAATTTAGTCCTTGTTGCAAAGTGGAAATTGACCCCTGATAGTCTCCCTCAATTATTAGAGCATTCGCAAGCTGAGAAATAAAGTTGCAAGACCATAACCTTCCTGCAAACCTTCAAGGAATAAACCACAACCAGCCATGAATCCAAACTTATTAAATTGAAAGAAAAACGAAAAATTAGCATCCTAGTAAAAGCGTTATCTGCAATATTAAAATAAATAAATTCTGAACTTTCCATGGGTTTAGGACAAAGCTTTGTTTCAAATAAAGAAGAAGAGCTACCCAACAAAAAATTCTCTCAGGTTTTCCCTCGTTGTAGTTATTATTATCATTATAACTACTATATTTGTTGTATTTTCAGTTGAAACTTGAATCTAATTCTTGGTAATTTGTGAAGGGCATCAAAGGAGTTGAAGTGGCAGATCCAGAAGGAAATGAGAAGGAAAGCCTACAAATGGAGGTTGGCATTGACTATTCAGGCCCTAAACACCATCAACCCTGTGATCCAAACGATCCAACAGGCTGTCCATACAAGATCATCAGGGGAGGGAATTAAAAAAAAAATCATTTTGAAAGTTAATTCTATTAATTTCCATGTCATTATCCAAGGACAAATCTATGTATTATGTCTATTGACAATTTTGACATGTAAAAGTACTATCGACTATGAAAAAATTGATTTTTAAATTTGCATTGCTTTGTTCTATAATTATTTTTAAGTATCGAATAATTATATCGACAAAGATAATGTACAGTGTTGTGGGGGTGGGAAATCTAGGAAAATCATAATTAATGGCTATGGTATTAAAGACGCTAAATAAATTATAAAATTGAATATAGTTGTTTAATAAATAAAATGTGAGAGATTTGTGATGGGATCATTAATAGTAGAAGAAGAGTTTAAGAGAATTGTTGGGTTTTTAATACCCAATAAATCTCAGGCTATGATGTTAACGTATGTTAATATTATTTCATAGGTATAAGCCGATGAATAAAATAAGTCCAACAACTAAATTCATAAGTTACACCCGGCCCAATTATATTACCTCTTGGAAGGTTTGAATCTTGATCCATTTACCTCTTTAAAGGTCCAACTCAAAGACTAACCCTAGAGTATATATATTGCTATAACCCTAGTCACTTTCTTTTGATGTTTTATTTTGTGTAGTTTTGTCAGAGAAATCAAGGAATCCTGGCTGCCCCCTTTGTGTGTGAAAAAAATGCCTCTAGAAGTGTCCAAAATGCTTATTTAACGTGTGCAATTGGTAGTTCTTTCATAGTATACCTTTGTGGTGTCTTCTTCTAGCCTTTGTGACGACAAATCATCATCTTTTCTTGTCCTACGTAGGCAAGATTGAATAGCAACAGAGATGAATTAATTGGTTGTGGTTTGGAGCCGATTGGATTGGTTGTTGGTAGAGAAAGATACGTTGGACTGAGCTTGAAAATCATCGATTTGAAGATCTTTCAAGAGAACTTCCGCAACATTTGGTATCAGAGTTGTAAGGTGGTGGTTTTAGCTCTTGAAATATAGCAAAAAATATCCAAAAATCGACAGAACAAACCAAAAATCAGATCGAAGAAGCTGTCCAAAAACTGTCAAAATCAACCTCCATTTTTCACGTTTTCTGATCAATCTAGAAGGAGTTTTGGGAAATAGAGGCTATTGGCATGACGTACTGGTGGAGGCGGACCCTGTAGGATGGTGCGTGTGGTGGTGTGTGAAGACCACGCAAAGAGGGAGGAGCCGCGTGTGAGGGCACGTGAGCTGGAATTTCGAGGAGGTCCCTTCAGGCAGTTTGTTCCTCACATTATTTTTGAAATTTTTCGTGTTGGAATCTTGATAGCGTTGTTCTTCGAGGCATTCGGGACTCAATCGTGATTTTTTTGTTGCTGCAGTTTCTAGAGACCTAAAGTGTTAAATTTGTGTATCTTATAATTTACGGACTTAGATTGGTCCACTCTTGTAAATTGGTTGAAACGTTTACATTATCACACTAGCAGAGCATCATGTGGGGTGATCGTTAGGATGGGGAGTGGTCATTGCTTGGCAACCATTGCTTGTGCTAGAGAATTTATGAATTATTTGTTCTATTTTGAAGTGTTGAACTTTGATTGCAAGTTAGTAGTTGATTTTGTGCCTATCTGTCATATAGTCACTGTGTCAGACTTGTTGCGTGAAAATTTGAATTTTTTGTTTATATACTTTCGTGTTTGCATTAATTATTCCATTAGAACACCTGAACTTGACCCGTTCGAACATCCCTTGATCTGAGATCATGAATCTTACGAAACTCTGAGAATCTAGAACGATGTATATTACGACCTTATGATTACTTGTGTGACTTGGTTGTTCTGTTTTTTTCCTTAAAAATATTTTCACACTTTGAAGTTGAAATTTTTAATCGGAAAGGTGATTTTTCAATTTGGCAACAAAAGATGAAGGATATTTTGGTCCAACAAAAAGTTTCAAAAACCATAGACAGCAAAGTTCCTGCAAATTTAATAGAAGTACAAAAAGAAGAGTATAATGAACTTGCATACACTTCAATTATTTTACACCTATCTGATACTGTTTTGAGAAAAGTAGGAAAACTGGATTCTACAAAATAACTTTGGAAAAAGTTGGAGGACTTATATTTGCTTAAATATATTCCTAATAAACTGTACTTGCTTGAACAATTTTTTAGCTTTAAAATAGATCCTTCAAAAGATTTTGATGACAATTTGAATGTCTTTAACAAGTTAGTTCAAGACATCATTAATTGTGATGAAAAGGTATCTGAAACGTATAAGGCTATTATCCTACTTTTCTGCTCGTGGTAGTCGGCCAGTGCCCACAACCCCTCCGCTACCGCTTCCATCGGTGGTTTATCTGTGCTCTCCTCCGCGCTCCGATGGTTTTACTAGCTGGATTTCAGCATATAGTCAAATGCCCGCTTGAAACAATCGAAGAATTAGGAAGTTAAAAGCGAAATGTGAAGAGCGTTACATTAAGAGCCTGTTTGTCATAATTTAGAGTTAATTGCTCCAATGACCACTGAATTTAGATTCATGTCTTTGATTCGTTATTGAAATTTAAAATATCGAGTTTTAATTATTGAATTTAGGTCCATATCTTCGAATGCTCACTAAAATTTAAAATGTTGAATTTTGGCTACTAAACTTTGAAAAATGTTGTACATTACTCATTGAATTTTAAAAAATATTGTACATTACTCACTGAATTTTGAAAAATGTTATACATTACTCACTGTAAACTTGATATTTTTTAAAGTTCAACAGTTATGCTAGTGAGTAACGTGCGACATATTCTAAAATTCAGTGGTCAAAATTCTATATTTTAAATTTTAGTATAAGTGTCGTGAACAATCGAAGATATTGACCTAAATTCAGTGATTAAAACTCGACATTTTAAATTTCATTAATTAATCAAAGACATAGATCTAAATTCAGTGACCATTGGAACAATTAACCACATAATTTAATTTGTTAAAAGGATGACAAACAGGGACTAATGAATTAATCCATGAGAACATAGTTTTACAAAAAATTGTCAGAACAATCTCATGATATGAGGTCCACCTTGAAAAAGAAATGAATAAAGCTGCATAGTTGTTTTCCTAAAAAGTAAGAAAAAAACTCTGTCACTGTTAGCGAGTTTTCTTAAAATAATGAAAGAATTGAGGAAGAAGTTGGAAGAGCACCAACCTTGTGTGGTGACAAGCCGATAAGCCTGGCCAAGAACTAATGTATCACTTGGCTGGAGAAGCTTAACACTCGTATATCGAACAGTTTTTTCATGGGAATTCTCTTCTCCGACGATCAGCAATGGAGTTATCAGTGAAACATAGTGTCCTGGATTCATTTTCATCACCTCACTAGCTGTCACTGGCCAATACATTCTCTGCCGCAAAGGCGCTGCTATAGTGTTGTTCAAATCATCTGAACAACACCCCAAAACCATGGCTGCGAGGCTCACAAAACAAATGCCGGAGAGAAGACAAGTGATGTGCCAGCATCGACGCATCTCTTTCGTCGCCTTTGTAGTGGTTGAATGGGTCATCGGCGTCGAGAGGAGGGAAGCCAGCGTCGAGAGGAGAGAATGAGGAGACGAGAATCGGGCTTGAAAATTGGGGGAAATGATTAGGGTTTTTAATTTAATTGGGGGATTTAATTAGATATAATACCTGATTTTTGCACAAATAAACTTGCCCTGAACTTTAAATTTGAAACTTTAAGTACCTGATTTTATTAAATTTTCCCAAATTAATATTCAAGAAATCAGCCCGAATGGTTCATTGCTCATCGCAAATGGCATTTTTGTGACAGTTTTGTAGTCTTTTTAGAATTCTATTAATCTTAGATCACATTTTCTTTGAAAAAGGTCTTCCACTCACAAAATCAGGAGAATAGAAGATAAAAAGCTAAATATATAGAAAAGAAAAAAAAATGTTTTTCTCCTCTGTCACCATTTCTTGAGTAAAAATAAAATCCTGAAAAATAGGTTTACAATGCGGTTTTTGGGTACCATAATTTTCTCAGTGTTGTTGGGCTTTTTGAATATTTCACTTCAATTATTAAAAGAAAAATAAAAATATTTTTCTTCCAAGTTAGAGATCTTGAATAATAACCAAACCAAAACTGCCACACCAAATCTCAAGGGGGAAAAGCCCATCAATTTCATTAACTTTCAACCACCATTTCTGTGAGATCAGTGCATGTTACTGCGTGTATGTGAATTCTTATTCGATCTTTAAACTCAGTAAGATACTGCATGCAAATGCGTGTGAATATTGAAAGATGTAAAGTTTCATCTCATTCATCTGTGAAGTTTTCTTGGAAATTTCCATTTATTTTTCTTAGATTTCATTTCATTTCTTTGCAGGAAGAATAAAGATGTCTGATTACTCTGATCCTATAATGGGTGATGAAATTGGAACTGGCTCTGAATATCCTTCAATGGAAAAGGTTCATGAATCCGGGGTCAATAATGGCCATGGCCATGACTATTCTTCTTCCTCTTCCGACGAACACGCACATCGACAGATGTTTCATCTCTTCGGCCGCCAAAAACCAATTCATAAGGCTTTCGGTGGTGGCAAACGTATGTCGATATTTACTTTTATTGTCTGTATGTACAACTATGGTTAGAACTCAACCATACTGTTCTCTTCTGGTTTCTGTATGTTGTTTCTGAAGCTAGATGAATCAGAAGCTCGAATAATTTCATTTCAGACTTAGAATAAATTCATATTAAAATGTGGGTAATGGTTTTTTGTGCAGCTGCTGATATTGTACTTTGGAGGAACAGGCAGATGTCTGGAGGTTTGCTTGCTGGTGCAACCGTGATATGGCTTCTGTTTGAATGGATAGGCTATCATTTGATAACTTTTCTTTGTCATTCTCTTATTCTGTGTTTGGCCACTACTCCAATCTCAATCCCAATTCACCACTAATATTTGATCACAGAGCAACCAAATAGTTGGTCACAATCACCATTTCCTCCTACTATACCCCGCCCCCACCACAACACCACCACGACCATTGCCAACAACAAAAACGACCACCAAAACATAACTAATAACTGCACCACACCACACCACACCACACAACACCACCGCACAACCACCGACCACGCCGCCGCCACCACCAGCATCACCACTACCCCCAACAATGCACATAACAAAACAACAATCTTTCAACCAACCAAACAAAACCCACGACGCCACCAACAAAAACCACTTGCAAAACATGTAAACCACCGTCTGACCGCCACCACCATTTGCTGCACGAGGCGCTTCTGCCACCATCACCCCTCCAACACCATCAACAACCAAGTGCCGCACCACCACCGTCATCATTCCAACACCATCAACAGATTTAGCAAATTCATCTTCAAATTGGCAATTGATTCTGACAAGTTTTTCTTCATCTTTGCATTTTTCTTTGATCTCAGCACTTTCATAACCTCTGCAACAAAATCAATTTATAACTCAAAACTTTTAATCTCAAAATAACAAGGTTTAATTAAAAATAAGCCTATTAACTAGCATTAAAAAACCCGATTATTAGTTGTTTTCCTAAAAAGTAAGAAAAAAACTCTGTCACTGTTAGCGAGTTTTCTTAAAATAATGAAAGAATTGAGGAAGAAGTTGGAAGAGCACCAACCTTGTGTGGTGACAAGCCGATAAGCCTGGCCAAGAACTAATGTATCACTTGGCTGGAGAAGCTTAACACTCGTATATCGAACAGTTTTTTCATGGGAATTCTCTTCTCCGACGATCAGCAATGGAGTTATCAGTGAAACATAGTGTCCTGGATTCATTTTCATCACCTCACTAGCTGTCACTGGCCAATACATTCTCTGCCGCAAAGGCGCTGCTATAGTGTTGTTCAAATCATCTGAACAACACCCCAAAACCATGGCTGCGAGGCTCACAAAACAAATGCCGGAGAGAAGACAAGTGATGTGCCAGCATCGACGCATCTCTTTCGTCGCCTTTGTAGTGGTTGAATGGGTCATCGGCGTCGAGAGGAGGGAAGCCGGCGTCGAGAGGAGAGAATGAGGAGACGAGAATCGGGTTTGAAAATTGGGGGAAATGATTAGGGTTTTTAATTTAATTGGGGGATTTAATTAGATATAATACCTGATTTTTGCACAAATAAACTTGCTCCTGAACTTTAAATTTGAAACTTTAAGTACCTGATTTTATTAAATTTTCCCAAATTAATATTCAAGAAATCAGCCCGAATGGTTCATTGCTCATCGCAAATGGCATTTTTGTGACAGTTTTGTAGTCTTTTTAGAATTCTATTAATCTTAGATCACATTTTCTTTGAAAAAGGTCTTCCACTCACAAAATCAGGAGAATAGAAGATAAAAAGCTAAATATATAGAAAAGAAAAAAAAATGTTTTTCTCCTCTGTCACCATTTCTTGAGTAAAAATAAAATCCTGAAAAATAGGTTTAAAATGCGGTTTTTGGGTACCATAATTTTCTCAGTGTTGTTGGGCTTTTTGAATATTTCACTTCAATTATTAAAAGAAAAATAAAAATATTTTTCTTCCAAGTTAGAGATCTTGAATGATAACCAAACCAAAACTGCCACACCAAATCTCAAGGGGGAAAAGCCCATCAATTTCATTAACTTTCAACCACCATTTCTGTGAGATCAGTGCATGTTACTGCGTGTATGTGAATTCTTATTCGATCTTTAAACTCAGTAAGATACTGCATGCAAATGCGTGTGAATATTGAAAGATGTAAAGTTTCATCTCATTCATCTGTGAAGTTTTCTTGGAAATTTCCATTTATTTTTCTTAGATTTCATTTCATTTCTTTGCAGGAAGAATAAAGATGTCTGATTACTCTGATCCTATAATGGGTGATGAAATTGGAACTGGCTCTGAATATCCTTCAATGGAAAAGGTTCATGAATCCGGGGTCAATAATGGCCATGGCCATGACTATTCTTCTTCCTCTTCCGACGAACACGCACATCGACAGATGTTTCATCTCTTCGGCCGCCAAAAACCAATTCATAAGGCTTTCGGTGGTGGCAAACGTATGTCGATATTTACTTTTATTGTCTGAATGTACAACTATGGTTAGAACTCAACCATACTGTTCTCTTCTGGTTTCTGTATGTTGTTTCTGAAGCTAGATGAATCAGAAGCTCGAATAATTTCATTTCAGACTTAGAATAAATTCATATTAAAATGTGGGTAATGGTTTTTTGTGCAGCTGCTGATATTGTACTTTGGAGGAACAGGCAGATGTCTGGAGGTTTGCTTGCTGGTGCAACCGTGATATGGCTTCTGTTTGAATGGATAGGCTATCATTTGATAACTTTTCTTTGTCACTCTCTTATTCTGTGTTTGGCCACTCTCTTCTTATATTCCAACTTGTCCTACTCTGTTAACCGGTGAGTCTCGTTTTTCCCTACTTGGTACTATCAATAGATCAAGGTTACAAGAATCTTTTTTCTTTGTATCTACTTTGTTTGTACTACTGTTTTCTGGTATTATGGATAGGCCGAGACTATATGGTCTCTTTTTCTCCACTCTGTTATATTCTTTGCTACATGGACTCATCCTACTGTGTTTTCAACTTGGTTCTATGGATAGGTCGGCTTTGAACTTTCCCCAGATTGTACTACCAGAGGATTTGTGCATGAGCATTGCTCTCTTATTGAGGGATAGATGTAATCAGGCATTTGGTCTCTTTCGCCAAGTAGCTTCAGGAAATGATTTGAAGAAATTTCTTTCTGTACTTCTCTTCACCTACCTCACTCTTTCACATATTTCATATTTCTAAAAATAAGTTTGAGTTTATGTACAGCGATTTCCTAATGGCTCTGGGTTCAACTTCCGAGCAATCCTCTGTCATGTCGAAATTTTCTGTCTTAAGTTCATGCTAAATTGTGAAATGCAGGCAATTTTGGGCTTGTGGGTTGTGTCTATAGTCGGCAGCTGGTTCGACTTCTTGACCCTTGTGTACATCAGTGAGTTTTCTTCCTGTCTTTGGTATGTGCCTTAATTTTTTTGTTTTTAGTTTATGAGGTCATGAGAGGAGAAAAGGGTAATTAAACGAAGATGTAGATGAACATTAACGTGGTACGAATTGGAAATTCTGTAAAAGCTCATACGAATTGGGGTCAAGGAAAAAGAGACTGATAAATATGAGGCAGAGGCAAAGATAGAGGGGGAAAAAAAGAAAAGAAAAAGAGACGGGGCACAAAAATTTGGTGTCTTTAGCATAATTTCTAACCATGCCTTGTGTTCTATGTTGGCAGTATTTTTGATGCTCTTGACAATGCCATTGTTGTATGAAAAGCACGAAGGTCGAGTAGATTCTTATGCTCAGAAGGCAACAATCAAACTCAAGAGACAATACAGCAAATTGGATGAAAAGGTCCTCCAGAAATTACCCAAAGTTCCTTTCATCCCAGACAATAAGCAGCACTGATAATGATCCAAAAGCTATGCTCAAGGATTATCGGCTTTACTTTCTGATGCTAGAAACTCTACCAGTATTTTTCTACCCTAGGTGATGTGCATTTTTATGTTTCAATACATATGCAACGACCAATTATCTGCTATTTTTCATTCCCTCACTCAAGGTTATGACTTGGTTTTCCTTTTGGTTTATTTCTCGAGTTTACTTTTTTCAAGCTTCAATGTGATTGCAAAGAATTGAATTAGTATTTCTTGTATCATTAAACTAGGCGTGATTTCAATGATCTAGTAATGCTTACATCTATTTTTTAACTCAATAGTTTCAACCTCAATAACATTAACAATGTTTTAGTAGACAAAAACTGCAGGGTGTGTCTTCATAACGCCACTCAATACAATTCATACATTATATGCCTCTTCCTGAAGCCTTAAAATAGAATGTACAAAACCATCTCCAAAATTCAAAAGTTTATGATTTTAATTACCTAGCAGCAAAACAACCGTGACAAAGTTCAGAACTGCAAGATGCTGTCACACACATAAATACTACAGGAGTGTCGCTTCATACCTTTGATGTCTTTGATAGTAGAAACGACTCCCACTAACCAAATTCATACTTCGAGTATGGAGCCGTCCACTTCTCTGGCTTTTCAAAGGCAAGATTAATGGGATTAGATGCCAAGGCATCCTCTATACTGTCAGCTTCATAGCTTTCTTGCAAAACCCGGTCGAGTCTTTGTTTCATGTACCTATATATGCAAACCAACCAAGGATTCAGAATGGTTCTAATCAATCATATACAGAATCATTTTGAAGTAAGGACGCTCTTCTCTTCATTTTTCGTAAGTACTAATTGGACAAAGGTGACAATGTCGCATTATGGTGAACTTTCGTAGTTCAAGAAAGAGGCAGCTGAAAGAAATGTACTGTACTACAATTAGAAAATATAAAGCAACTAGATTCTTGACAATGCGTTGCTGGAGGGAAACAACCCCAACAAAATATTAACTGGGACTCGTGGTGCAAGATTTGATTAAGTTTTACTCAAGCGGTCGACCTAGTACATGCTTTGGAAGACATAGGTAGTGTTTCTAAAAGAGATGTGAAAGTTGAAATGACTAACAAAAATCATCCTTCCAAGTACCATGTATTGTAATGAAGCAATTAGATTTAGACCAAATATTTTAACAAAAGATAGATCAGTATGTGTGCTCTTACGTTATCCAGGGGCCATTCATAGAAACAAGCTCCACCGCTGGCCTCTTTAGTCTCTTGGTAATATTCGGAAACTTATCCAAGAACTTGGGTTCAATCACAAGCCAGAAATCTTGCTCTATATTAAGCTCTCCATAATTCCGAAGTCGCTCAAACATTAGCTCCTTGAAATGATCTTCCTCATCCAACATGAATTTTGCATTTGCTACAACAAAATAATACTTCTTCTTCTCAGCTTGCTCATGTTCCTGCAAAGTAGTCTCAAGAATTACCATGTGCAAATGTGCATGTTTGGCTAAGCTTAATTTTTTAACTTATGAGTTTACTTCCACGTGCAAATGTGAACGTTTGGCGAAGCTTAAAATTTTATCTTATAAGTGAGTTTACTTCCATCATACTGTCAAAATAGGTAACTTTACACTTGTATGAGAACACTAACGCATCAAAATATGTTTAGGAACAAATTTTACTTAAAATTAGCCAAACATACTATACTTACTGTGAAACACGATATTTAACTCAACTCAATAAAACATTATCACATACTTTCTATACCATCAAAATCGATATGGTTGAGAAAAAACTAGTAAAGTAACATTGCTGACAACTATAATGGTTATGGTTCAATATGTAAATGTGAAATGAGAAACAAGTGGCTGACCTTTTCAATGGGATCAGAGGAATCCACCGCAGCGACGGCTGTTTTTACAGACGTGGCTGATTTCCAGGCGGTGGAGCCGCTAGGTGAGTTTTGCTGGGAAAGTTAGTTTTGTTGCAGGGAGTAAGAAAGATTTGTGTGAACTGTGGATGGGTGCATTCAATATTAGGCTACCCAAAGAGCCTACTACATTGAGACTTGAGAGACGTTGAAGCTAGCATGATTAAAATACAAATTAATGAGATTTTCAACTAAAGGAAATTATTAATATTTAAAGAGTACAAAAAAATTAAAAATTAAAGATTAAATATATTCTCAAAAAAAATTAAATAATATAAATTTTATTTAAATAAATTTTAAAAAATTAAAGAATATAAAAAAAATAACATAATTAATATTTAATCAAATTAAAATTATAAAGAAATTTAATCTTGTATTAATCATTTGGAAAAAAATATTTACAAATTTTTTTTAATCAAATACATTTTAAAAAAATTGAAGTATATAAATATTATTTAAATAAATTAGGAAACAAAATCAAAGATTATTTCATAAAAAAGGAACAAAATAAATTGTTAATTTCAGATAATATTTAATTATTAAATTATATAAATAAAAGACAATTATAAAAAAATAACATAATTATTATTTAATCAAATAAAAAAATGAATTAATTATAAAGAAAATTAATCTTCTGTATATTTGGACAATATATTTAAAAAATTAAAAAATTAAATATATATATATTTTTAAAAAAATTATATATTCTCCAAAATATCATTTTTCGAAAAATCAATTTCACACAAGTGTTAAATGACAAAAACATGTCCAAATTAATGAGAAAAACTGAAAATTCTCTTATATTAAGATATCTTCTTTTCCAAAATATGTGTGACCTATCTTTGGTTTAAATAAACATTATTAATATTTTCAGTATAATTTGATAAATATTAGTTATGTAGTTAAAAAATTGTGTATCCTATAAAATATGTAGTTAAAATTTAATTTTTAATTTTAATTTTAATCAGTTTTTAGATGAACTAAATCGGAGCTAAAGATAAACTATGATGAATTTTGTTTTTTGGGTTCTAGCCATCTAGATTAAAAGGCATCTAAAGCACGTGAGATATGGGCGCTAATTCTTTTAAATTCGACGCTTACCTCATATTAGGATCCGTTTGATTGCAAAAATAAAATTTAAGTGTAAAAAAACGAATTTCAGGAAATTAAATTGCCTAGAAAATATTTTATTGGAAATTGTCAATTATTGTGTTTGATTGCTATAATTTTTCATGTGAAAAATGTTCAAATAAAAGTGTTTGTTGGTGTTTGTTTGACTTTGTTTTGCGTGAAAATTGTCAATTGAAGGGATAGAATTTACTGATATTGGGGATAGAATTTGTTTCCATTGCCAAAAAAAAGGCAAGAAAATCGTCTATCTTTTGACGTTCGCTTGGCCATGTGTTTACATGAAAATTGTGAATTAAAGGAAAATATTTTTTTTTACAACTAGGGATAGAATTTGTTTTCATTGCCAAAAAAAATAAAAATAAAAATAAAAATCAGCAGCATAGCCCAGAAAGCCTTGAAAACCAAGAAAATTTCCATATGGTAAGAAAACCAAGAAAACAAATTCCTTGGAAAAAAATTGCCATCAAACATGGCAAAAGTGAAAAACTGGAATTCATTTTCCATTTTTCATAGGAATCATGGTCTATCAAACATGGCCTTACTGATGTAGTCGATAGTTAAAGAGAATAGATGGTACATTCAAGGGTGAAGCGCTTGGCCATGTGTTTACATGAAAATTGTGAATTAAAGGAAAATATTTTTTTTTACAACTAGGGATAGAATTTGTTTTCATTGTCAAAAAAAAATAAAAATAAAAATAAAAATCAGCAGCATAGCCCAGAAAGCCTTGAAAACCAAGAAAATTTCCATATGGTAAGAAAACCAAGAAAACAAATTCCTTGGAAAAAAATTGCCATCAAACATGGCAAAAGTGGGAAACTGGAATTCATTTTCCATTTTTCATAGGAATCATGGCCTATCAAACATGGCCTTACTGATGTAGTCGATAGTTAAAGAGAATAGATGGTACATTCAAGGGTGAATCTAAAGATTAAAATGATTTGTAAGAGATTATATATGATAATTCAATTTTTTAAAGTTCAACTTTCGAGTTTTTGTATGCACATTAATATTGAAGAAGATTACTTATTTTATGAAAGGTGACCATTTTCATCTAGTAACAATCGACACTTTTTTTCACGAAGTTTTGTGATCATTATTTATGCTTTATTTGTCTATCATTTTATCATATTATTTTTTCTACAATACTAATTTTCAACCACACACTCTTCATTAAAATAATATTACACGTAAATAAAAAAAAATCTTCTTTTTTAATTACACATTTCAACATCAGTTACAATTTTATAATACATTATTCATAAATAATTGAGCACAAACGCCCCTCAAGAAAAACAAAGTTTTGATTAGTAAATTTTTGGAGAATGAGATGTTAAATAGTTGAAAAAAAATTTATATTTACATGCAAAATATTTTATTGTATGTATGTGTGGTTGAAAATAAATATATGAAAAGAATTTTGAGAAAAATAATATCAAACAGGTCTTATTTTCCACTATGGTTTTTGTCAACTCGAGAAAGGACATCCGAGGGTGGTGGCAATAAGAAAATAATTTGATTTATTTTGAAATAAAAAATAAATAAGAGTTATTTTAGAAAAGTAATTTTACTTTCTTTGTTTCAAAATTAATGAAGAAATTTCACGTTTGATAAATTCTTTTTATTATAATTATTATTTTTCTAAGGGGAACTTTTAATGATTTTTTGAAATTTAAAAAGTTTAAGGATATCCAATATAAATTTTTTTAGGCTCTTTAAAAGTATTAATGTATGCAATTGAGGCTTTTATAAATTTCTAAAAAGTCTTCAGAAATCAAGATATATTCAATTAAAATTTTTTAAAAATTTTTATAAGTTTTGGGATATTCAAATTTTAGAAACTTTTAAAGATTTTTTATTCAGAAAATCGAATCGAAACCTCATTTTAGAAGCCGTCGGTTTGGTGCCACGTGGACCCAATCAATGAAATGGTTTTGACCCAAACCAAACAGATCAAAATGGTTAGGTTTAGGTTTGAGAATTTTAATTGCGGTTTAAAATTAAACCGAACCAACGAAAAAATATGTAAAAATAAAAAAATGAAATTTTTTGAAAATTCATCCAAATATATAAAATTTAATAGTTTTGTCATTTGTGGTTATTTTTGTCAATTTCTAATTTTCTAATACATATATATTATTATCAAATAATCCTAATATATATCTAATAATTCAAGATTAATATAATCTATCAAAAACCTTTTTCCTCTTCAGAATTTAGATGAACTACAGTCAACTCCCAACAAAGTCTTGAGCCACCATCACCACACACTTCTTCTTCAGATTTTTCACGTCTCTTCAAAGTTGAATTGAAATCCATTATATCAAATCAGAAACAAAGATATTCTAGACTTTCGGTGATAATATTTGTTACGAATAAAGTTTCAGATCAATAATTTTTTTGGAGCAAATTAAGGTAAGAATTTGAAATTAAATGCATTTCGTAACATCATACAAACGTAACTTGTGTAATTATTATATTTAGATATTATAAACAATTGCTTTATTATTGTGGGTGGTTATTCTCTTTATTTAATTAGTATCCTTTTTTGCAGATATGATGATCACGAGATCTTGTTGGACATCATTATATTTTTTGGGTCTTATATCTAGTTTAGTAGACTTTTATTGTAACGTTATTGTATCGTTATTAGCCTAAAAAGGTGAAAAAATGAAAAAAAAAAAAAATTATGTTTTAGTTTAATGTGATTTCACTTTGATTTAGTTGGTATTTAAATTTATAGTAGATATATTTAACCCATGTTTGAGCCATATTTTCCATATTATCATAATGAGAAAATTGACTGTTGGAGAAGAGGATGGTCCCACACATGAAATAGTAGGTCAACAAAGACAGCTGAACTTGTAGGATAACGGTCCAAATTTTCATTTTTTTTATTACTAGTAAGATATAAATATATATTGAATTCAATGAATTAATGATATAAAAGTAGATGGAAAAAAAATATATGGGGAAACCGACGGTTTAAAACCGGACCAAACCGTTAGATTTAGATTTGAATTTTTTTTCAAACCGTTCAAAATGGTTTGATTTATGTTTGGATTTTTCTCAAACTGTTTTAAACGGTTTTGTTTGAAAATTTGTCAAAAATCGATAAAATCAAACTGCTTACCCCCATATTTGAAGTACTACTTTTAAGTAAAAAGTACTCATATAAAATCTAAAAATTTGTCATTCATTAATTACAAGATTTTTGGAGACGTCACAAAGAAAAAAAAAATTGATATGTATTTTTTTCAATATTTTTTTTCCTTTTTCCTCTCTTATCATTTATATAAATTTTCTATGAAAAAAATTAAATTGAATTTTTATAATTCTTTTTCGTTTTTCATTAATTTTTTTGTGAAAAAAAAATATATTTTTTTATTAAATTACAAAATTTTATATGACAAATTTATAATTAAATATAAAAATATTGATTTTTATGTATTTTTAAAGATATTTTATATTAATAATATTGAATATTAAATATATTTGATTATTATTTATTTAATTAAATCTTAAATTTTTTTTTTTTTAAAATAACTTTTTAGTTTATAAGGAGGGGGAAAGGAAATTGTGGTAACCACCACTTCGTATATAAGAATTTTATATTATTGCACTAAATTCATTTGAATTATATTTCAAAAGAAAATTTTCCAAAAAAAAAAAAATAATATTGAATTCTATAGAAATCTATAAAAAATTTAAAATAAAAGTCCATAAAAAAGTTTCCACTAATTCCAATATTCCATACAAATTTACAAATAATCCCTGAGAATTCATCCCTTAAAAAAAATACACCCCCTAAGTTTCTTCGCTCTCTGAGGCACTGATGTTAAAGCTACTATCTTCTCCCCATTGTTTCATTACCCCATTATTGAACCCCTCCAGAGGCCGCCTACATTCCATTGCCAGAGCCTCCTCTTCTTTCACTCAGACATCTGTCAGATCTCCCAAGGCAATTTTTTTTTCCAGAAAAAATTAACTAATACTGTATCTTGATTTTGTATAATTATTGAAATTCTGTGGTTGTTATACAGTAATTGCGGATTTTATTGACGTTTTAATTGGAAACTTTTTTATGCCCAGATGGACTCTGAAAGCTATATGTTTGGACCCTATAAGATTGACTCAAAGGAAGTGTTTTACTCTACCCGACTTTCTTATGCCCTAGTCAATCTCCGCCCTGTTGTTCCTGGTGCGTAAATCCCATTTCTAGTAACTGTTTCTCTTGTGTTCGAGCTATATGATTGTAAAAATAAAATAATTTTTTTTTTTTTTTTAAGATGTTTGATGGGTTTCATTTTGTTGTTTTTGCTGTTGCTGGATTAGTTTTCTTGCTATATCCTGTGCAATGCACCAGGGGCTTGATTCGAAGAATAATGTAATTTGACTAAACAACCTAAATGCAGAAATTCAATGTCTGTTACATGAATAGGATTCTCGACCCCTTTCGTCCCCCAAAAACAAGGGAAAACCTTATTCACCTGTGTCTTTCAGTTAAAGTAATCATTGATAGAATTATACAACTTTTTGAATGTAAAGGAATAGTTTTAGCCCCTGACTCCATTCAATAAGATTGAACGGTCAGGTCGGGGAGCAGCTTAGCTCCTTATAGAACTCTGCCAAGGGAGCAACCCCATTTTTCACCTTGAATTGGTCAAAATATGCACTATTACGGATATGAAAATAATGGTCAAAATCGGATAGGTTATGAGGATTTTAAAATAGATTTCTGGTTAATTAAATAAGAAATGAGAATGAATGGAGACAATTTGAGGTGAAACCGATGGACTATGAACTAAGGGAAGTGAAACTACTATTTAAGATATTGACGTGAGTCACGCGATCTTGATAGAATATGTTAAAATAGAGAGTGGTAGAGCAAGACATATTAGCACCTCGGTGTCAATTTGTTGTTTTATTCTGTCGCTGGAATAGAATTTTTACTTGCTATGCGAATGTATAATATTTATACTGACAGTGTTTATTTGCACCCTGATGGCATGGGCCTGTAAATTGATATATCAAACTGATAATTTTATTAGGTATTTGATAAAAAGAAAAAAATAAAAATAAAAATCTTACTTCTGGAAAATCTGATGTCTTTTATTGTCTCCTGTGTAGATGTTTCCTTTAAGCATTATTATCTGTCCATTTTAATAATTTTGTGTAAAAGAGATTATACATGATGCTTAACACATGCAGCCTCACCCATGTATCTATTTTGGTTTAACAAACTTTAACATCTTTAAGTTTTCCACTCTGTAACTTAGTTTAATTATTTTCCTTTGCAGGTCATATCCTTTTGTCTGCCCATTTAAATTGCGTATGATGATTGACTCAAGCGTATGTAGTATTTTATGAAGGAAATAGAGTAGTAGAAGGAACTGCGCATGTAATTAATTATAAGGAGTCAAATTGATACTAACTTGTGTTCCCATTTAATAAAGATAAGTTGGATGCTTTTAGAATTGTTGATATGGACGTTGCGTAAGCCTTGAACTCTTTGCAAGGGATTGATTCTGCCATTCTAATATTGTGAACTGGTGGTGATTGAGGGTGGGTCTGCAGTGAGTTTGCCTATTAATTGCAACAGATTTGAGCTAAGATTGTAATATTTTGCAACACATTATTTACATAAGATCCATTTCATGTCATAATACATAAGTATATGTATTCCTCTAGAAATTCTGCAGAGATGCTGGCATAGTCCTTTTAAAGAAGAGAGGTTAAACCATGTCATCCAATTGGCTGAGTATCTTCATTTTTTAGGCTTTATTCAGCTTCCATTAAAGGAAAAAGAAAAATAAAAAATTGAAGTAAAAAAGAAAGCCTTTCGGATAATAATCTCAGACTCTTGCATTTTGGCTTATTTGGTTTGACTTGACAAAATTTACATGTGCTTGTCTGCCCGAGGCGTGATGCGAAGCGCTTCGTTGATCTCACTGCTGATGAGACTAGTGATATATGGCTTACGGCGCAGAAGGTTGGCCAGCAGCTTGAGTCCTATCACAAGGCATCTTCACTAACATTTGCAATCCAAGTAAGAGCAATACTATATGGAAGAGCAAATTATTATTTATTTGATTTATTGTGAAATTAGGCCAATCTTTAGTTGTACTGTTACTATTCTCTTATACAAGTTAGTAAATCTGAAATTTGACTTTTATAATGTTCCTTGCTCTCACCCTTTTCCCTTTGTATTCTTGTAAATTGTTTTAAGGTTAAAATGTGTCAAAGTTCAAATGCTCATAACCAATTCATATAATAATCAACTTCGTTGCAAAGAGTGTATGAAAATCTCTCTGCTCCAAGTAGTTTTGGAACCCCATTCCCTCTTTAAATTTTTGGATTTAAAATATCAGTTGATAAATGATATTTTCAAGGAAAAAAAATGAAAAATGAACATATGGAAGAATGCACATTCACCAAGAGACCAGACCTCGTTAGAGAAAGATTGTGTAAAAAAAAAAAAAAAAAAAAAAAAAAAAAAAAAGATCTGAGACCAGAGTAAATACTTTAAGATACCTAAAAAACATTTCAGGAAAAAAACAACCTTACTATCACCTTTTTCACTCTTGATCTCATGAAAAATATTTCCTGCCTCCACTTAGTTTTCTCTTTTAGGGAAAAAAAGAAGAAGAGAGTTTTCAGGTTTTACCTCTTTATTCCTCTATTCTTGCATTGTGACCTTCATTTTCAAGGCTACTGAAGCGGTTCAATAACAATAATTTATGGTGGCGCTTGCATGTCGTTTCCTGTCTTTCTTTTCAACTTCTTTTTAAAGTTGAAGATATTTTCGACTCTGATGCGTAATTATGCATGGTTGTAAGTGAAGCCTTAATAGTGCAATTTCATCTGCTCGATAAAAACTCCTATTTCTTACTAATATAATGCTATTTGGAAAGTAAAATTTTGACAAAAATAAAGTAATGATGCATTAAACCATGCTGTTACTTTAACTAATCCTTTTTAAACTTGAATTAATTGCACCATTGTGTTAGGTCTATCTATGTTCTTAAAACAAAATTCACAATTGTATCGTCTCTTTCTCATAAAATTGAAAATCTAAGTGTTTGGCAAAAAACTATTCCAAGAGAGCTCCGTACTTCCGCTAATTAGTATTTGTTTGTTGATGCTAGACAATGTCTCTTAGAAACTTAAAATTATAGAAGATCGTTGTCTAACTATATTCTTCATAAAAAGTAACAAAAAGAAAAAAGAGAGAAACAAGAACCTCCTCCCGCTCAATGTGCATTCTGAGAATCGACTCTTATGATTAATTATTGCTTTTAATTTATTTAGAAAGGGAATTGCATATGCTGCAAATTGTGACATGAAAATGAAACCAAACATTTGCATTTTCTGTTTTTGGAGAAGTCCTGACATTCTGCACTACCTAAATATTTCTACATTTGGTTGCTGGAATTGTCATTTGATTAAACTCCATTTAATCCTGGAAGTTGTTTACATTTGTCGATACTGTAGGATGGGCCCCAGGCTGGACAGACTGTTCCTCATGTTCACATTCATATACTCCCGCGCAAAAGTGGCGATTTTGAGAAAAACGATGAGATTTATGATGCTGTAATATTCTTAAATCCTTCAGTAAAGTCAGCTTAACTTTGAACTGAAATGATAGATTCTTCTTGCTGTCCGTCTGTTTAACAGATTGATGAGAAGGAGAAGGAACTTAACCAGAAGCTTGATTTGGATAAAGAAAAGAAGGACAGAACCATGGAAGAGATGGCTGAAGAGGCAGCCAACTACAGAAAGCTTTTCATATAGGCTTGGTATCAGGTTGTGGTTCACATTTCTATTTTTAATTTGCAGGAAGTCGACGTGTGTGCTTTCATAGGTTATAAACATGGTCCGAATCTGTATTTATGATTTAAAGGATGCATAACTTGCAGTTTTCACCAGAATGGAGAATTATTTTTAATGAATAAGATCAGAAAAAGTTCTTTTGGATGTGGGAGAATACATATTTTATATCTTATGCAATGAAGTTCGTTAGTTCCTCTCGTACAACCTGTGTAATAACAAGTCCCAAGACATCGGGAAAATGAAATGAGGCAATGTTGTACTAATGGACTTTACACTGAACAGACTTTTTAACTTATTTTTCTCCCTTACTATTCCTTACTATTGTCTACCAAACAAGCCATCATAGTAAATCTAAGAAACTAATATCCAAGTTGTTTAGACCAAAGCACAAATGAGTATTTGTCTAAAGGAAAGCTTAGGCACGTGAAAGGAAAGGCAAAAGGGTGTAAAAACTAGGGTGAACTATTGCATAGTTCTCTGATCTTTAGTTTTAGTCTCTGTTTGGTGTAGCTAAAAGTTAGATTTTTAGTAGATTTTGATGAAATGTATGATTGAAAATTTATAAAAGTTGTAAGTTTCAAAAAATGTATAGTTGAAAATAAGTTTGAGGGAAAATGAGGATCAAATAAAAATTTATTTATGCTTTCATTCCAACCTTCATTTACTAGCCTACTTTATGCTGTATCCATCCTAATGGATTAATATCATTCATGTTTTCATTGGTAAACTCGTTTGATCAGCGTATTCAAAAATTAAAATGGACAAAATTATCATTCTATTACTTTTAATTAAAATACTACAAAAATAAAAATGAAACACAGAAACAAGAAAAAATTTAAAACCATAGCAAAAGAATAGAGTAAAAGATTAAAAATGTCATAGTCCACCGCAACCCACTGTCGCTGCCACCCTCATGCCTTCACCACTACGCCACTGGAATATATATATACACACAGTTCATAAAACTAAAAACAAAGGAAAACAACAAAGATGTCATCTTCTTCAACTACCCCACATACGAATACCGCTACAACCTCACCACTACGCGATTGCCACTATCACCATTAACAGAGGAAGAAATCCTCCTGGGTTCTACCACAAGGGGAATTGGGTAAAAATCAATCAATGCTTACTCGGAGAATTAATGTTTACTCACTAAACTCTAGTAAAGAATATTTATCCATCAATCAAAATAGTTTCCATCTATCATCGTTAACAATCTGGTTACTACTCTTGATGAAAATTTTAATGTGACTAATAGAAATTCTTTTAGCACGCTGACGGCGTTAAATGTCTCCATCTCAAACAAAATGCTCCCTTAAAATAATAATAATAATAATAATAATAAATAAATTGTTGATCTCCCAAATTGGACCCTCCACGTGGCCAACCGTTAGTTACTCCACGTATTCCTCCCTGTGCACAGTCAACGCACGGTCAGATGCACACGGCCAGGACCAGCGGGGGGGGGGGCGGCGACGGCCGCATACACTCCAACGGTCAAATTAGCCTCAGGTGATCGGAACAATACCAAAGATGTGTAAAATAGTGGGGAGGAAAATATATATTTGCTCGTTATGGAAAGCTATGTTATAATAGTTTCATTACATTTGCTTTTTGTCAAACTTTTGGTATTTATAGGTGCGGTGAATTGTTGGATGTGGGACACGTGTATGCATTTGACGGTGTGAGGTGTCTGCTCATAGGTGTCAATCAGTCGCATCTATAGAGTGGGTGGGTAATTACTTCTCCCGAGTTGAGTTGACACAAAGTTGCTACGTCACATCAACTAGACCCATGGAGACGTCACATCAATTAAACATTGAGGGCAGAAAGGATCTCGACACGGATCTCTTTCTGAAATTGGCGGCGAGTCCTCTGACAGAGAACTTCGGAATGTACTGTGCCTCAACTTCAGGGGCGAGGACACTTTGGTCGGTTCAGTAGATTGTCTGTGTCTCGCAATGCGTTAGCAGATCAACAACATCGATAGTGACGTCACTTCGGAACCACTTCAAACGGGTGTTAAACACCTCATATAGCTCGATGGTAGGCTTTCCGAAGTGGTTCAGATAGGGGCGTAACATAAATATTCCAATTTTCCTTAATTCCACAAATCTATGCTTGTTTGAGTTCCTTTTTCTCAAACCTCATTTTTTTCTAAAACTCATTTTCAATCCCACTTTTTTCCCTAAAATAAATTTTACAAGTAAATCCAAATTTTTTCCTATATTTAACCATACATTTTCCAAAAAATCACTATTTAAAAATCTATTTTCCCCCCAAAAATCAAAGAAGGCCTATACATGCTCAAAGTTATTTTCTGAGAATTAAGGGAAAACGCATTTCGTAATGGTGTTTTGTCTGAGGCGTAGGCTTTTAAAACGTTTTGAGTTCAAACAACGATTTTCGTCAGTCCAGTGGGATTTTCGGTCAAGAGCTGTAACCGAATTGCTAACTAATGATGGATGAGAAATATTTTCACAAGTTAATGAGCATTGAGAAATCTCTAATGTTAAGTGACTAAGTAATAATTTACTAAAAAGTTCGAGACAAAGAAGCCCAAAAAAAAAGGAAAAAAAAAAAAGGAGGCTTCAAGAAGAAAGTGCAAATGAATCTAATGGTCCGTTTGATTGCAAAGATGGAATTTGGGTGGAGAAAACGAATTTCAGGGAATTGAATTGTTTAGAAATTATTTTCCTGAAAACTGTAAATTATTATGTTTGATTGGTATAATTTTTCATGTGAAAAATGTTGAAATAAAAGTGCTTTTTATGTTCGTTTGACTTTGTTTTACATGAAAATTGTCAATTAAAGGGATAGATTTTACTGATATTTGGGATGAAATTTGTTTTCATTGCCAAAAAACAAAACAAAAAAATCAAAAAAATCATCTATCTTTTAGTATTCGTTTGATTTTGTTTTACATGAAAATTGCCAATTAAAGAGAAATATTTTTTATAATAATTCTTAGAATTTGTTTAAATTGCAAAATAAAAAAAAAAGATGTGAAAACGTGGAACTGAATGGTGGGAATTTCAATTCCACCATTTTGTGAAATTGGCTGATGTGGCAAGCTTCCATGCACAATCAACGACATTCTACATTTTGTCAATCAAACAAAAATAAATTGGAAATATGGAATTTCGATTCCATTTTCCTTGAAATTTCACCCCTATCAAACACAGCCTAAAGGTTGGACCTTCGCTGTAATTTACCTGAGAAACAATAAGGGTCTGTTTGATAGAGGTGAGAATTCCATAGAAAATGAAATTTAAATTACATTTCCCATTTTTATCATGTTTGATGCCAATTTTTTTACATGGAATTAGTTTTCCACCACCCTTGCCACATGCCACATAAGCATTTTCCTTGTTTTCATTGAATTTCAATAAAGTGGTGGGAATTGGTTTTCTGAGCCTTTTTTTCGCAATTGTAACAAAATTTAGGAGCAATTGTAAAAGAGGATATTCCTTAAATTGACAATTTTTATATAAAACAAAGTCAAACGAATACCAAAAGATAGATCATTTTTGATTTTCTTGGTTTTTTTTAACAATAAAAACAAACTACATCCCCAATGACAGTAAATTTTATCCCTTTAGTTGAAAATTTTCATGTAAAATAAAATCAAACGAATACCAAAAAAATACTTTTATTTCAATATTTTTCACGTGAAAAATTATTCTAATCAAACACAATAATTGACAATTTCCAATAAAAGAATTTTTAGACAATTCAATTTCCTAAAATTCGTTTTCTTTCTATCCAAATTCCATCTTTGCAATCCAACGGATTCTAACATCCTTCAATTCGTTATGGAAGTAAAAACACAGGTCATAAGAAAAAATAAATTATCATCTGTGATAGTTTATACAATCTTCACACCAAGACAAAATAAAGGAAGTTGGATAAGTTTCCTTGCACAAGCAGTATTTAGAACATAAACCAGAGAACCAACTGATACATCCATATATTAAACATCATCCTATGAACTAGATTTCGGTATCCCTTGTAAAATATCGTCAGCATGCGTTGCCTGAACTTGTTATCAACCATCAACCTGAAACCATAAACAAGGAAACCTCTGTTAGTTCAAAGAAAAGTTAGAAATTAAAAGCAACTTGGGAAAAGCAAAGCGACTCAAAAAAGTGAAACAGTCAGACCCCTGTCTCAAGTCACATACCCAATACAATTGAGACTATCGATGAACCATTCAAGTTGTAGAATCCAGAAGGGAGTACTCAGTAAAATTGCTAGACATTAAATATTCATCATGAACAACAGTTGGTCTACACTGACTAAATTGTCGAATTTAGAAAGAGCTCTCAGTCAAGTGAGTTAGAGAGATTGACACAAACCCGTTCCAAATCAGCTTAGTGAACTTGACACGTGTCGTGCGCCGATGATAAATACCAATTCAATGTCGGCCCACAACCAAGGTAACCTTGATTTGCTTGACTAAAAAAAAATTTTAACAGAATTTTCCCTGAAATACGAATTAAAACCACCTGAACAATTACCAATTTTCCTTAAATCACTACATATAATATAAAACATGTTACACCAGCCCTTCAAAATCCAAACTATTCAAATAGAATACTAGCAAATCGATAATAACTTTACTCTACAACCAAAGGTCCCCAAACGTACTAAAGATATCAAATGATAATCTGATAAAGTAGGCTATACAATTACTGACATGTGGCTCAATTAGGTGAATTGACAAGCTCCATGACTGCTCAACTTTACTACTATCTGCTCAGAAAAAGGGTGGAAAAACATGAGCTTGCAATTCGGTAAGTGGATGGTTTGCAAATAAGTATACTTTTCTCATTTATGCATATTTTCTGAAAATTCTTGTTCTATTAAAACTTTAAGAAATTTTGAAATCTGATAACACTTTTTAAAACTAAACATGGATGCATCATAAAATTCTTTATTCTTCATTCTAGATAAGTAGCAGTAAGATATGATGAATATAATTTTGTCACAATATTATAAGTTGAAATCATTACTTTGCAAACTGAATAAGCTAAATTCTGTAGTCTGAAATCTGATAAGTTATATAATACTGAAAATCACACCAAAAAGATACCCAATGAATAGCCTTACTCATGTACAGAGTAATCTCGATGTACAAG